GACTTTTCTTATTCATAATGAGATGCCTTTCCCTCCCAAGCCTATTGCTTCTACACATCAGTAGTTAAGTACTTTAGATTTATAGAATTTCATAGATAAAAGATATCCTGGAGATAATCTATTGCCTTTTCTTATTTTTGAGATAGATCATTAAGGCCTAGAGGTGTTAAATGATTTGTCCAGGATTCTAGAGCTGGCAGAGCTAGAGCTAGAATCTAGGCTTTTGAGTTCATACATAGTTCATTCTTTTCTTAATTTTAAGTTCCTATCTCCCAAGAAATCTATTCTGTGGAAACCATAAAGCCATAAATTAGAAGTTAATATTATTATTTGTTGACAAGGATGTTAAAAGAACTTTAGTTGTAAATTTTATGGGTTCAACTATGGCACATGTATAAATCACAATTAATTTGGGACTACTCTCCTTTAAGGCAATTACTACAATTATTCCTTAAATACACATTTAAAAAATCATTTGACAAAATAACATCAAATCTTAATGTTTTCTACAAAATGTAAAAAAATTACTCAAAGATAAAATCAAATAGGCTCATTTCAAACAGCAGCTGTGTAAACTGAAAGGCATTTACTTTAGATATAATTTCTAAGCATCGTTTAAATCTTTTGTTTCTCACACCATGTAAACTGAGAAGAGAGTGGCAACCTATGTGTCAAAATAAATCTTTAATAAATGAAGTGATCTCCTGCCTGTGGGGAGTCAGAGCAGCTAAGGAAATTGGAAATGGGATATAGTAACAATTTGCTTAGTTAGTTCGGGGTCAACGGTTCAAATCAGAATTAGTTTACATTGGTTTGCAGTTTAGTAAATGAAAAGAAATGGTTTGGGAAGGTAAGAATTCACTCAGAATTCTCACAAGTTGGAGAAAATAAAAAAACTTCAGAAAACAAGTTAATATTCCCTGAAATATAAAAATGTGAATAATATGTACCATTAATAAAATACCTCATTTTCATACAAATAAAATTAACTAGATTACTCACATATGACTAAAAATGAGACTCATGACTCAAGGTAATATTGCAGGACTTTTCTCAATAACTATAACTAGGTTTCTAAACAAGGAAGTTATCTTGAACACTTTTTGCTTCTTAGTTACCAGTTCTCATAAGAGAAAAAGATTTCACCATTTCCTCATGAAACTTAACAGCTTTATCAAGCACAGACTCATTAATGCCCTATATAGTATCGTTAACATTTTTCTTTAAAATGAAAGAAGCATGCTGAAAAAACTCTGAAATAGCAAAACAGTTGCACATTGCTTAGTAACAAAGTCTGGGCCAAAATTCTGACCTGCTGTAAAGAGATTTCATAAACAGGGAATAAATAGCACTATGAAAACACTAAGTAGCATACCTAAGCTCGTGTACATAATACCGCTCAAAATATGCAATAGACTATGTTACTGACACTTATAAACAAACTCTAAACTTGAAACCTAAGCTCATGTACATAATATAGCCCCAAATATGCAATAGACTATGTTATTGACACTTATAAACAAACTCTAAACTTGAAAGATGAACCCTGTTTTTCAGTGTTAGCATCTAGATATTATTCCCAAAAAAACTAAAGATGTGGGGAAAAAATGGTAGAGGATCCCAGAAATTCACTAAAATTGGCATTTCAGGAAGAGTGACGTCTTTTTCAAAGGTCAAAAATTATATTCTGTTAAATTTCTAAAACAGTTTCAACTCCTATCTGCCATGAACTAGTAGATTATATGAACAAAAGCAGAATTAACTTTGTAATTTAGGGCTTTAACATCTTGAATGTTTTTGTAGGGTATAATTACGAAATCAATGCAATAACTGTGATACCTGTGATATGAAGACTACTACATGTCATGCCAGAAAAGTTTTGGTTTTTATAATTCTCTCTCCCAGTTATAGATCTACTGCATTATATTAGGAAAAAATAGTATTTGATTGGTGTAAGGCAGTTGATATGAATTAAGGGCTGTAAATGAAAATATGGTAACTCAATGTACTACTCTGGCCTCTAGGTCAAAAATGCCAAGATTTTCTGAGTAGCCCAAAACTGGATGAAGAAATAGATAGATAGATGCTGCCACCATGTGGTGAAAGAAAAAAATTAAGACCGCTTTGAAAAGACAAAGTCAATACTGAAAATTCTTGGTGGAAAGTTTTATTTTCCTAATCCCCAGTCTCAAAACTCAAGAGACATAGCTAATAAATAGTTACTTAGTTTTCCTTAGTAAACCACTATGGAGTTGTGATAACAGAGAAAGTAGAATGGAATAAACACTGCTAAGAGTCCCTTAAAATAGAGTCAAGAGGCTATTAAGAAAGTGTAGCCTATGCACTCTTCTGCCTCAGTTCCCAGAGTTGCTATTAAGTTGCTAAAGCTGTTGCTGAACTCGGCTCAAAAAATCTTGGAGCCCTAAACATCCTGGAGCACCTGCTGCTGGAACATGTGCTGCGTGGACACATATGGACTTTCTTTCCTTCTTTGTAGTTTTTGCCTCCCTCATTTGCATATTGGAACTAACCAATCTGTTAACCTAGCCAGCAATCTTTTAATATTAAATATTAATATTTACTGTTTACTATTTACTATATACTTATATAAAAATTCTTTGCTGATTTGGCTTTTAATTTAAAAATATTCACTTTATAGAGCATTAGAGATCTTACTTCTTGGTATATATCATCAGTTCGGCTCAAATAAACTTATGAAAAATAAAATAAAAATATTCAGTTTATTTTTTTCTCAATGTTGGGCGAGTTGACCTGTACTAGGTCCTTGACAGAGCACAAGAACCAAACTTTATGGGTGGCTTTAATGTAAAAGTAATTCTATCATGTCAATCATAGTCTCTGAATTTCCAAGATCTTTTATTAAGTAGATAAGAGATTGCTTAATTCTTTTTTTTCTAATTGTGATTCAATTCTGTTTATATTGTTATTAAATTTAGGAAATAGTTTAAGACAGAGGATTGTATTTCAGCTAAGAAGTGACAAACTTTTAAGAAACAAATCTGCATATGGAAGGAGTCTGTGATGGTTAATTTTATATATTAACATTATTTCAGATGTTTCTGTGAGGTTTTTTTTTTTAGATGACATCAACATTTAAATCTCCATGATGTGGAGAGTAATCTGCTTTACTCAGAGTGCACTGACTCAATCAGCTGAAGGCCTTACTAGAATAAAGGCTGACCTCCCCTAGGCAAGAAGGAATGCTGACAGCAAACTATTTTTGGATTTAAACTATAACTCTTTCCTGAATCACCAGCCTGCCAATCTAACTCATCAGATTCTGCACTTGTCAAGCCTCCATAATCATGTCAGCCAATTCCTTAAAATAAATCTGTCTATATGTATATAGTATCCTGTTGGTTGTTTCTCTGGGAACGCTGACTAATACAGGTTCACAAACAAAACTGTTTCTAAGTTCAAGAGTTATCTGTGCATTAAAAACACTCAGGAACCCTATCTGTTAATTATCTTTTCTTTTCTATTAATAAAACACTAAAAAGTGTTAGCAAAGTTGAAACAAAGGAATGTTTGGGATACGATGCCAGTCCCTCGAGAGTAGAGAGACTTGCTTTATCACAGAATAAAAATATATCACATACTAATTAATAATTCTGGATTTTAAGCTCTTTTCTTTTTCTTTTTTAGCCCAAGGAAAGAGAAACCACTGTTAGAATCCCTAAATGTTAAAAGTGATTAAGAAAGAGGTGATTTGATATAAACAAGGATGGCAAACTCCTTCAGCCCTCCTCAAAAACAAGAAGTCCTTGAGGGATGCTGAGGCACTATGAGGTGTTGCAGAACCAAGTCTGATAACTTCCTGTCTTGTCCCTAATAAACCTTGTACTGCCACCACCACCACCATCCTGGGCATTTTACAGAAATAACAGAGATTAAATGATTTGCCCAAAGCAGCAAGATTAGTTAGTAGCCAAACTGAGGCCTTGTAATTTTGTCCTTTATTATTTTGACTATAGATGCAAGTTTTTTAAAAATTAAAAGCTATCTTTCTAAATGTGCAATTTATCTGCACGATGTGGCAGGTGAGCAGAAGGAAAAACACCCACAATACATAGAACCCTGTAGTAGTGTTCGTATAGGCACGTCTGCCTCTCTGGCATTGCTCCCGAGGGCTTCCTCACTCCTATGAGAGGAAGGAAGCTAAGTCTTTATTTTGCCTGTAATACTGGCTCTATATTAATGACACAAGTAGATTCTGTCCAGCACTAATAGTGCAGCAAATTATAGCACTGAAACATAAATTAAATTATAATTATTATCAGAACAATAGCTCTTTTGTAAAAGCTTGAAATAGGACTCAAAATTAATATTTACATGCAACTTTACTAAAAATCGCATTTTTCCTTTGAAACAGAAACATGGACAATTCAATGAAATGAATGGACGAACATTATTTTTTCCATTTGACAGAACCGGAAACAGTAGATGAGTTGTTCAAGGTCACACAGAAAATGAGAGTGTCAAGAGATCGTCCAAGATTCTAACTCTATTCAAATTTGAACTCTAGAAAGGCAGACATTATCTCTTGTGTTTACTGCTCCAGCATCCAGTGTAGCATCATGCACATTACTGGGGATGATGCTAGTATCAGGGCACATGCTCTGAACAAGTATTAGGAGAGCTAACTTATCTGATGTAGAGGCAAAGTGACTGATGAGTGGATAGTAACTCATTTCATATCACAAACAAGGCTAATCTGTATGAACTGAGAACAAAAAAGAGTCCAACAACAAAATGTTCAACTGTGGATTACAGGTCAATATCATGCATTTATTCTGTCAATCTTTAAGATGACTTTCCAATTTAACCTCCTTCCCACCACTTATGAAGACTCACAGCAGTCAGCATTCCCTAGTCCTATTTTTCTAACATGGACTTTTACATTTTTATCACAAATCTTGAGGATTTCCTTATAGAAAAATACGGCTCCTCTTGCCACTAGTGATCAAAATCATACAAACCTCTGTCAGTTGTTTCAGTTGGCTTTTGTTTTCACTTAATTCTTCTGCTAGGTTATTCTTTTTAACTTGTAGTTCACAGATTTCCTTTTTTAATGGATCCACTAGTTCGTAGAATCGAATCTTTAAAAAATAATAAGCAGTTTTAAAACCCAAATTACATTCGAAATTTGCTAATTTATAGGACTCTCCATTATCAGTAATAAAAGGAATAAAGGTAATAAAAGTGTTAAGAAGTTTCAGATTATATGCCTGTACAATAAAGATTTTATTTGTATAAAACTAAGACAAGACAGTCATTAATTGACCTGACTGATACTTTAAGTCTTAATGTTCCAATTCAGTTCTCTCAAGGCTCAGATTATCTATAACTCCCCACCTTTGACAGTCTTTCTTCTCTTCTATCAATATTCTTCTCTTCATCTCCCACTACTGCTCACTCAACATTATATGCTTGTTATTTCCTAAACACATCAAATGTTCAAGAGTTTTGCTGTTATTGTTCCCTTCGACATTAGATCACTGTCCTCAGGTCTGTGATCTAATGTCACCTTATGAGTCAAGCCCTCCCCGATTCCCCCAACCTGATTTAAAATAGCATCCCCATGTGGCAGCAGTCCCTGTTCGACTCTTGTACTTTTCTCCGCAGCATTTATGACATTCTACATATTTTACTTTCTATTTACTGTCTGTGTTGCTCCACTAGCATGAGGCCAGGAACTTCTGTCTGCTTTGATAAGCTTACATCCTAGGCTCTTGCTGAAGCTCTACTCACTGCTACCACTGCACTGGAAGAGACATTCAGGATGAATCAGGAGGCATCTTTCATATCACTAATTCCATTCAGTTCAGACCTCTCGTTCCTACTCATAATTCTCTTTGAGGAATTTGCCTGCATTAACCTAGTAAAGTGTTCCAACTGACAAGTACCTATAAAACCAAGAAGCCATGAGTAAAATAGGGTAATTAGGGGCTACTTATTATATAAGGTAATTAGGGACTACTTATTATATAGGGTAATTAGGGACTACTTATTATATGGGTAGACAGTCTGAAACACCTTGACATATTGCTGTATTACAAAAGTACCATATTTGTTGAGAGGCAAGCGCTAAGGTTGGTCTCAACATAATACATCTGTGTATAAATAGCTCGTTAGCACAATACCTCCTGAGAAAACAAAGGGTATGACAAGGAACACTAACAAGGCAGAGGGCAAACTGAAATAATGGGATACTTGATACCTGCTATGGATAAAACCTCAAGGACAGCACTTAAGATATTTAATTTGTTTTGGACAGCACATGTTGGGTAGAAAAATATTTGTTTAAATAAAAAGCTGGACAAAAAATAACACTCTATTTTGTAGGAAGTCATTAATCTGGAAACCTTATCCATGTGAGAACTAAGAGTAGCAATCACCACTCCAGCAAAATGATAGGTAATATTTATTATGTTTACTATGTCCTAAGGACTGAGCTACGCATTTAACAAACATAATCACAGTTAATCTTCATAATCACCTCAATTGAAAGGCGCTATTATTATTATGAACCCTTTCACAGATGAAAAATTCCAGCCTCTAAAGGTGAAATGGCATCTATATATCATCTTTTTTTTGTTGCTCGTTTGACCTATATATCATAATCCAGCAGTTCTCAAAGAGTGTTCTGGGGACCCTTCGCTCCTCACCCCACCACTCTGAGACCTTTCCAGGGAATTCATAAGATCAAAACTATTTCCCTAGTAATACTTAAATTTTTTGCCTGTTTTGTTCATTCTCTTACTCTTGTTTCCCAGTGGCTACATGACGTGTGATGAGATCATCCTTAACGGCTAATGGAACATGTGCTTAAGTATTCTTGTGTTTTAAAAATGTCTCCATTTTAATTTCTAATATGCTAAATATTAATAGATATAGCCCATAAAAACAAAAGCTCTCTGGGGACCACAGGGAGTTTTAGAGTGTAAAGGGATGCTGACACCAAAGGTCAATCCTATGTGTAGATGTGTGTAACCAACTCTATAGTGGAGATCCTGAACTAGACCCACATAGACCTCCCTCATTCGACCCCTTTGTAATCACACGAACTCCCCTCTCCTCTACTATCCCTAACCCCTGGCAACTCCCTATCTGTTGTTTATCTCTATAATGTTTCATGTTAAGAATGTTACAAACCACCAGTTTATGATAAAATAATTCATTTCTATAGTCTACGCAGCCATTAACTTTGGAGCTCTATTTATTCCTTGACTTCGGAGATCAGTGGTCAGGACCCTTTAAAATTTGGTGATCTGAACACCATCCGCCATCTTCAGATCAGGGCCATAAAATAATTGGGTACTTCAGAAGTTATGGCTATAACAACATAAATGACAAATTTTAGTCCGAAAACGTATGCAGTTTTTTAAAAAGCGATACAAGACACTTACAGATACATATTCAGGAATAGAAAGCTGATCTTCGGGAAAACTTTTGAGTTTCATATATTGCTCTTCTGTCAACTCAAAGTCACGCAGATTTCGACGAATATCTCCAGCTTTCTCTCTTAGCTGAAGATTTGTTTCTTCTAGTTGTTTCTGTCTCAATAAAATAGTTTCCATTTCTTGTTTCATTAGTTCTTGATATTTCCTGTTAGAAGAGAATTTGTGGCAAGCTTCAAAAAATTCTCAAGACTTAATTTTCTGAATCATCTTTTTATGGTAACATGAAACTAGAAAATGAAAAGCTTAAATGGTATATTGACTTTAGCTAAATGCTCATTTACTTAACCAGTTAAACATAAAATGACAATTCTATAATAATTACTAAATGTATAGCCACATAAATTATTAAATAGAGAATATTCTTAAAAAATAATTTCAAAAATTCAAATTATATAATATATTTCTTCTGCCTAAGGTTTAAGTCTTATACATCTGTTTTGGACCCTATTCATTAAAATAATTTCCATTTCTCTTTATCCAGGTACTACAAGTTATAACCGTTTAAAATGGCAACAGTGAACCACCATAAGGTATTCATTCAAACAATGAGGTAATGAAAACAGTAAACTGCACATCACTCTCAAAGAATACATGTTATAATAGACATTGTTATTGTCAGTTGCCTACCCAATGATTTTGAGCTGGAAGGGAACACTTGATTTTTCCCTTTCCTATATCACTCTCACCAACATCAAACATGCTGTTATTTCTCCTATCTTAAAACAAATGAACAAACAATAACGCAACTTTTGATCCCATTTCTCTAACCCCTTTGCTCCTCCTTGGAGGAAAACTTATCAAAAGTTGTCTATACTCACCGTCTCCAACGTTTTTCCTCTTAAACCTATGCCAATCAGGTTTTCACTCCCCTCTCTTCACTGAAATCTCAAGGTCACCAATGACATCCATATTGCTAATGATTAATTCTCAGTTCTTTTCATCTGTAACCAAATTACACTTGACACAACCGATCTCTCCTTCCTTATACACTTTATTTGCTTGGCTTCCAAGACAGCATACTCTCCATTTTTCTCCTATTTTACTGATGGTGCTTTCTCAGTCTTCTTTTCTAGTTTGTCTTAATGCTGGAGTACCTGGTCCTCTCTTCTGTTTATATTCACTGCCTTAGGGAATTTATCCAGTCTCATGACTTAAATGCTGTCTATATTCAAATGACTCCTAGATTGATATCTCTGGACCAGCCTTTTCATGTACCTCCACATGGACTTCTAATCAGACAATTCTAATTTAACATGTCCAAAATAAACTGCTATTCACTCACAAACCAATTCCACTGTGGTTTTTCACTTAGTTGACTTAGTGATTCCACCCTTTCACTTAGCAATTCCAACCTTTCATTTATTCAGGTCAAAGATGTTAGCATAATCTTTGGCTCTTTTTTTTCTCTTAAACCCCACATCTAATCTGTTAGGGCATCCTATCGGTTTTACCTTCAATATATTCAGAATCCAAGTACTTTTTACCCCTATCAGCTATCAAGAGGATTATCGCAATAGCCTAACTACCCTCTCAGCATCATTCACTAGGATAAATGTCTTAAGCATGAGAATAGCAGCCCTATTGAATGCAGTGGTTTTCAAAGTGTTATCCCCGAACCAATAGGAGCATCAGCATCACTTGCAAACCTGGCAGAAATGCAAATTTTCAGGACTCCAACACAAATCAAACCAGAGGAGGAGACCCAACAATCTTTTCTAATAAGACTTCCATGTGGTTCTGATGCATGCTAAAGTATGAGAGCCACTCATCTAATGTGACAGTGGCTAATAATTTGTTGAGACAATTTTTTAAAATATCAGTTAAATAGTAAGATCTTATAAAGGAAAAAGATATCTGCTTTGCACATTCACCTCTAAAATATAGAAACATTCACTTGCCAAATATTTACATGGGGTCCAGATATTTTTAAACATGGAGGTACTCTGTGTGTGTGTGTGTAAATCATTGTTCATAATTTCAATTTCTTTACAATGGAAGACCTTAAAACATGCTTGAAAAGAAATGTGAGAGGATACTTTTTACGAATTTGTTTAATTTTTGCCCAATCTCTAAATCTGTCTTGCTTATACTTAATTTGATTTTTAGTTACTTCTTTTTATTGAATCTTTCCAAAGAATTCATTAGTTTTCATAAAAATGATGTATCTTTTTTGTACTCATATTTGTTTATATAATTTTAATTAATTTATATAAATATAATAATTATAACTGGCATAGGTATAATGGAGAGTAAACACAATGGACTTTTGATAAGCACATGACCTAGAGAAGGCACTTTAGTTCAATGGGCCATGACAGTCTATCACTATGTTTTTCAAAGCAAATGAAGAAAGGTTAATCTAGACAGCAGTTAAGTGGTGGTCAGTTTATCAGGGAGCTCCCATTGTTGTTTATGCTTCATTTACATCGGCAATGTTTGCTAAAAGAATGTTGAATTTTGACTTTTTAAATTTTGTATACTATACCAACTAACCTATTTTTTTGTTAGTCTGGATGTAAAAATTGTTATCATCTTTGGTTTAAAATTTCTCTACTTTAATGCTCGCTTTGGCAGCACAGATACTAAAAATTCTCTATTTTAGCTTATAATTACATGCATGAAAAATAACGGCATTACTTTTAACTGCTAAATTGGTATTGTTCTTTTTAAAGACTTACCTGGTATCCTTTTGCTGAAAAGTCAATTGGTTGTCTAATCTCAATGTCAGGAGCTGCTTCTGGTGAAGTGCATCATTAAGTTTCTCCTCCAATTCTTCAATCTTAATAAAGAGGAAAAGGTAAATTATCTGGCCAATTTTCAAATTTATTATTAAAAAGCTCTTAAAAGAAATAGTCAAAAAATGGATAGAGGATTTTTGCAATGTAGTTTGTGTCCATAAACTACAAAGTCCGTTTATAAAATGGTTTTTAAACTGTAGTTTGAAACTGCTGCCTCATAAATGCTTTTTTTACCAGGCCGTCATTAAAAGTATTTTTTTCTCCTTAATCCCACTGGCAACTGAGATTTTATGCTGGTGTTTCACCTAGGTAATTATTTCTAGGCCAGACTCTGCATTTGTGCTTTAGATCCATATATCTGACTACATCTTCAATTGACTATTATAAAACATCCAAAATGAAACCAGTCATCAACTTTACCTAATCTTATATTCCTGGCATTACCTTAGTCTCCAAAGCAAAAAAAAATCTGAACCATATTTGATATATCTAGTTCTCTCTCACTGCTTAGTATGATCAAACACCATTTTGTTTTGTTGAGTTTACTTCATAAATAGCTCTCAAAACTGTAGCATCCTCTTTAATACCCATTGACAAGTCTTCAGGCAGATCTTTATTATTATAACAGTTTAATAACTGGATTATTATAACGGTTTTCTCACTGGTTTCCCCAACTCTAGTTTGTAAACTTGCAAACCAATCTTCCTTTATTTTACTTATAAAAAATGCTATCAAAAATTAATTTTCTGAGGTCTAAATCCTCCAGTGGATCCCATCTTCATAATAAATTTCAAACTTCGTGGCATAATATACTAGTTTTTCTTTAACTGACCCTTGCCAACCATTTCATTTGCTACTAACTTAAAAGGAAAACACTGTTCCAGCTAAAAGAAGGGCTTACTATTCCCTAAATATGCTGTGCTCTCTTAAGGCTCTATGAACTTGGATTTTGCTCTTAGTCTATTTAGACAATTCTTTATTCTCTGTCAACCCAAGCAATTCTTCTTACTATTTAAAATCAATTAATTTCACAGCCAGTCCTTAATATTTTGCCTCGTCAAATCCCCCCTTTCTACTGGATCATTCCTACCTTTAACTAAACATATTCTGTCTCCCACTAAAATAAGCAACAACGACACTCCCTTGACCACACACTCCTTGGCTGTAGTACCATTTCTCTGCTCACCACTGGAGCAAAACTTCAATGTGGTTTTTGTCCCATATTATTCCAGTAAAACTATTCTTGCCAGTTATAAATCACCTCCATAGTGCCGAGTCCAATAGTTATTTCTGCATATTTACCTACTTGACAGCATAATTTGACAGAATCAACTGCTCCATTCTCTTTTGGCTTCCATGATATTCCTCTTTGGTTTTCCTCCTAACTCAACAAACACACATTCACATGCACACCCACTCCCACACATCTAGTCATGGACTGTCTCTTAAATTCCAATTGACAATTCCATTTAGAACTAACAGGAATCTAAAGTTTAACATGTTCACAACAGAACTTATATTTTACTTCCCAGATCAGTTTACACCCAGCCTTTGATTTCTCAACAAATGGCTCCAGTTAATGAAGCCAAAAACGCAGGCATCGTACATAAGGAAATAGCCTAGTAACTGTCTACTGTTTCTACCTTATCTGCTCATAGTTTATTACTTCTATGATATTTTGAATGCAAAAATCAGGAAATGTAACTCTAATTGCCCAAAATCTGCCAATGGCTTCTCTAACTGCATATTTTAAAGTTAAGGGTTAAATAAACAATGGTGATGGCCCAAATCCGGTCTATGTCCTGTTTCTGTACAGCCCACAAGCTAAGAATGGGTTTTAAATGTGTAAAGAGCTAAAAAAAAAAAAAAAAAAAAAAGAGAAAAATATGTGATAAACAATATGTGGCCTGGAAAGTATAAAATATTTACTCTTTGGCCCTTCGCAAAAAATTCCTTATCTAAAATAGCCATTGCTAAGTGATGCTATGTCACATGACCTTGAAGATACTTTGTTTAATTGTTTTTTGATCAGGTCTCTCACTTGATGTCATCTCCATAAATAAGGGACTCTGTCATATTCATTGCTATATTACCAGAAATGTCTCAATAAATGCCTTAAATCGACAAATAATAACCACATTCCTTGTAATCACTATTTTACAGATCAAGAATACTGTTACCCCTAGGGCAGAAACTTCTTTATTCAGGTTTACAACCTTTGAAATTTCAACTTCTAAACAAGTCCCTTAACTCAAAGACAATCAAGCTGGGAAGACACACTCCTTCATTTCCCAAGCAATAAGGAACCACAGATTTCTAATGAGAGATCAAAAAAGAGTTTTGGCATTTAAAAACTGATGGGCAAGAAGAGAGAAGAAGAAAAGATTAAAGAAGTGGAGTTAAGGAAGGGGATGCAGACAGCAGGGCATGTAGATGGGGGGTAAGTGTAAAGCTAACAATTCTCTAATACCAGGATGCTTGGCCCAAGCAGCTACACTTCTGAGTTTTCTCAGTTAGCAAGCAGCCGAATAGGAAGTGGAAATTAATACTTTTAAAAGTCCCTTTGGAGCTATCTGTTCCTGCTCTTAGACACAGAGAAATCAAATCGACAGTGTCAAGACATTCATTGTAATAAACTATAATAAACTGTAATATTAGAAATAAACATCGGCATGGTATTGCTGCCATACTGGTGTAAAAAGATGTTAAAGAGATTCTCATATTTCCTAACTTAAAAAGGCCTTGATGAGTAGAAAGTTACTTGTCTCTTCCAAATTAAGTCTTCCCTTCTTTCCAACATAACTCTGTTATTATTAGTGACAACAATGTGTCCAATTAAAAACTTACATTTCCCAGCTTCCTACCCCTTGGCAGTGAGGATGGTCATGCCTTATATTTCTAGTTAATTGTGGTCACTAGCTTGAGCTTCTAAGAAAGCTCTTGAAAAGGGACTGACTCAGACATAATTCTAGAGGTAGATTGGCTATTTGTGATTCTTGAAGTGAGAAGCACACGCTAAAAACAGCTGTGTAGAAGGTTAAAAGGAGCCTGGGTTCCTAATGATATTAAGAAGTAACCATATCAGGTCTAAATTACCTATTTTCAGATTTCTGTTATATCAGAGAAAGAAAATTTTTATTTTGCTTAAGCTACAGTTTCCACATCTGTTACAAGGCAGCCACCATTTTCCAAGTCTCTGGTCTAACAGCTGAATTTAATTTCTGAAACACTGGACAGCAGGTTTGATCTTTTTTCCACATCAGAAATACCTGTTATATTCATGATACTTGACCATTCAGGCCTACTGAATGCTTCCAATGACAGGAAGCTCAGTAACTTAAAAGCAGGCCATTTAAATGTTAATAGCAGGAACAGGTTTATATTCAGCAGAAATCTACCTTTCTTGGGACTTTCCTGGTGCTATATATAGTCTAGTGAGGGAAATTTAGCTTTTGTATGCTAGAATGTGAGATTTTCATCCTTGTATCCCCAAGGCTCGATGCATTGGTAAACTTTGGAGAATGAATGAATGGCTAAAAGACCGGTCTTTCATCAGTCCCAGACTTGTACTTTCTCACCTTTTACCATCTCTGAAAGTGGAATGCATTTTACACAACACATAATGGTTTAACTCGGCAGTTTTTAACCTTAGCAATACATGTAATGATCCATCTCATAATCGAGGTGCCTTGCATTTGAAGAATTATGGAAGACTAATTCTTCTACATAGAATTATAATGTTTATTCCATATAATATTTCGTCATATATTTGACAATGAACATCTTGCTTCCAAGGAGTCTCAGACAAAGCAGAACAACCCTAGCCTTCATACAATAGATAAAAAAAACCTGTATTTCCAAAAACATTGAGAGAAACTTGGTGGCACACTTAGATAATTATATATATCCTATGAACCAGAAATTTTACTCCTGAGTATTTATGTCAGAGAAACGTCTACAGACGGCCAACGCTGCATGTGGTGGCAAGAAGTTGGAGGCAATCTGCTGTGGGAGTGGATGAATAGATTGATAAGACGAACACAGAGAATTATGTAGAAGTTGGAAGCAAAGAACTAGATAAACACATAGTAATATGAATGATTTTAAAAACAGCGCAGAGTAAAAAAAAAACTACAAAAGAGATGAAATCTAAAACATGCAATTTACGTTTATGTAAAGGAAAAAAATGATACCAATTTTCAAAAATAAGTATTAAAAAAGGATAATACTTAAAATAGCTGCACAGAGAGAAGGAGGAATGGAGATGAACTATGGGAATAAAAAGAATAAATATACAAATTAAAAAGTGATCTTGCAAGGATCAATAATGGTTATGTGTCATAAACTCAGGATTAATTCAGTCTTCTACATTTGCAGTCCAAGCAGAAAACCACAAAGATAAAAATCAGAACAAAACTGTACTAAGCACTATGAGTACAAAAATAATAATATAGTGCTGAATAAGCTTGGCCACTACTATTATTTATTATACACCAGGCATCTGAGAGCTCATGTGTATTGCTTTAATCCTACCAACTCTATTCAGTAAATACTATCATCACTCTTATTTTGTAGGAAATCACGCAATAAAAAGGTAAAGGATTTGCCCCAAAGCACCTGTATCTTAAAGAGTTATGAGGTTTTTTTATTATTATTTTTTTAGGCAAGGCAATCCTTGGTTGACCTCACAGATTGCCAGGAGCTTGTCAGTTTACAATCCCTTATTTTTTATTTTTTACGCCTACAGCACCTGGTCTTCCTGGGTGGTCTCCCATCCAAGTACTAAGTAGACCCTACCCTGCTTAGCTTCCGAGATCAGATGGGATCGGGCTCGTTCAGGGTGGCATAGCCGTAGACATGAGTTATGAGGTTTATATGAGATAACATGTGGAAAGGTCATAGAACAGTGACTGGCACAGGATAAGCATTCAATAAATGTTAGTTATTAATATTAACATAAAATTGCCTAAACTATTTCTTTACTCACCAAGACCTTGGGGTTTAGGACACTGTTTTCCTAGAGGCATGGGCAAGCCCCTGGAGTACATTAGTATACACAGGCAAGGGCTAAAACTGTAGGTTGACTTAGCAAGAGAGAAGGTGTAACTGAAATAACAAAATGGAAGGAGGGGGTGATGGGAAGAGATGGGATTAAGAGCAAAGGTGGAGGGTTCGCTATTGGAAAGAAAAGATTTTCTCGGGACATAGTGTGTTAAGAAGTGTCTCCCAGCTTTCTGAAATCACTATAATTTCTCATAGCTAGTGACTGCTTTACTAGGTCTTACAAAAAATACTGTAAATAACTGTAACTATAAATAACCACACAAAGCAGAAAAACAAGGACTAGGACATTCCTTCTTATGTGACAAACACCACTTGTTAAAGACTATTGCAAATGAATTTATACTTGGTACTATGACACAGTAACAATCAAATTGTAAGACAAATACAATAATTATCAAATAGAAAGATTCCAAAGAAACCAAATTGCCAAAGCAGAGGACTATACAGATATATACACATAAGTATGTTCTTGATTCTCCTTGTCAAACTAGGGAGAAGGATGGAAATCAAGAGCATCAATGTTGGTTCTCAATGGAGCAGAAAACAACTTGGCTAGAAAAAACAATTTAGAACATATATACCTCACAGATGCTAGATTTAAAAAATTGAGCCTATAGAAGCAATTCATCCCTGCCCACCTTTGTCACCCCTTCTTTCAATACTTTTTGACACACAGAAATATATTCACATGTTCCTTCTAAAAAGTTTTCAAAAACTATGCAAGAACATATAACTTATGTTTATGATAAATGTATCAAGTTCGGATTACAAACATCAAAACTTAAATCTTATTTATCTGTAGCTTGAAAGCAAAAAAGTATATAGATAACAAAATTTACACCTGATCTTACCTTTGTAAGATAATCTACTTTCAAATTGTCAATCATCATATTTTTCTGGGATAGCTCTATTTTCAGTAACTGAATATTATGAAGTAGTTCTTTACGTTCAATTAGTTGCCTGGTGATTTTAATTTTACCATCTCGCTCTTCTGATGAGGAAATGTCATCTGTAGGAACTGTTGTTTCTAAACTAATATCTTCGGATTCCAGGGAGCTAGAGACGTTCATTTTTTTTGATGCCTTGGCAATTTTTCGAGACATTATTATTATGGTTCAATTTTCTTCTCCAATTCTATTTCAATTTTCTGTAGTTAAAAAAACATTAATTTAAATGCACACATTCTCTGCGAATAGCATAATGTATGTTAAAGAGATACTAAGGATTCTCTAAGTAAACATTAGGCAATCTGGAGGACCCCAAATCTAAGACAGATTAGTAAATTACTGCTCAGATCAAGCATATTAAACTCACTACATCTGACCATAAACTCAGGCCCTTAGATGATTAAGAAACCCGGTTCCTGCAAGCAGGAATCTTCTTTAAAGGAAACAAAGAAATGTATGAGATAAAGCTCTAAATCACTAGTACCCAGGAATGCTACTAATAAAGGCAGCACATGTTCAAGACTAGAGAAATCACTTCTGACTCGGTCAGGGGAAGGTTATACAAAGACATAACTTTGAGTCTTGAAGGATTTGGAGAGGAGCAGGAAAAAGGAAAATGCATGCAGATGTTAAGGTTAGTATGGAGGTGCCAAAAGTGTAAAACAGAGAAAGATAGCGGTTGTCAGGCTGGGGCAAGTTTTGTGAATCAGTAGTGATTCCCATTTACCGCCCCCTCTCCCCTCGCCCAACACAAACACATATACAACCTTAATAATCAACACTGAAGGGCCCTGAATGTCAAAATGTTTGAAATTTATTCTACAGGCAATGAGGCATCACTCAAGATTCTTAAAAAAGGGAAACGACATAAAAACATTTTTTTTGTAGGCTTGCAGATAGCAGAATGAAAACAAGAGGGTAGAAGAGAAGAACTCAAAAATTCTAAATCAAACTTCCTACTCTTTCACAAAAATTTTTAGCATCTCCTGTGTTTTGATACTACACGAGATAACGAATTACTTATGGTATTACAGATACGTTTTTCTAAACTGAACGATGTGTGAAAGGTAAACGATCAGAATTTTAGCTGGATCGGCTTCTCTCCTTTTCAAAAGGAAAACTGTAAGGAAAGGTGAAATTAAAGACAGGCAACATCATCTGGGTTACAAAGGGTCAGAGACTGAGACTATCCACACGGCATAGGATTCCTTGCCCCACGCGGTATGGGAAGGGACAGCCAAGAGCTACCTCGAAAGCTTCAATTACTCCACGTCGAAGAATGATCAGCCGCCACTGTAAGATGCTGAAGGAGCCTCTAAAGAGCAGCTCGGGTTACAGACCCTCAAAAAGAAATCTCAGGCGGGGGACCGTTAGGACCCGTAACCAGGACAACCATTTCTGCGCCAGGAGAAGGACAGGGGAAGCGGCAGCGTAACGACTTCAGATGTTACAGCCCACGCCACCGGATCTCCGCCCGGATCCGCCCCGGCGCGGGAAGCAACGCATGTTGGGAGCTGGAGTCCAGAGCCGGCCCCGCCCACTTCACAGGCGGAAATGGCTCCAGAGCGCGCCCGTCACCCGGGCTCTTCGCTTTCGCCCAATCCTCGCAGCCCTCAGAGAGCCAACCAACGTCAGTCTCGACGTTTTCCCGCGAGAGATGTTTACTAATATCCTGGAGCGGGAAGGGGCGAACCTCAGGGTTAAGTATTGTTGTACGATAGGGCTCCTTGCTTAACACTTGAGCGCTGTCGGAGACAGGATTCCGCGCCGCGAGGCAAGATGCTGAAGTCCAAGACTTTCTTAAAAAAGACGCGGGCGGGCGGCGTGATGAAAATCGTGCGCGAGCACTACCTGCGGGACGACATCGGCTGCGGTGCGCCCGGGTGCGCGGCCTGTGGCAGTGCGCACGAGGGGCCGGTTCTGGAGCCGCAGCCCCTGGATCCGGCGAGCAGCCTCTGCCCGCAGCCGCACTATTTGCTGCCTGACACCAACGTGCTGTTGCACCAGGTGCGTCGACGGGTGGGCCAACCATGGGAACCGCGGTGCTCCCACCAGGAAAAGGGGGCGTGACAGATAGGGAAACTGAGGCTCGAGGAGATGCGTCTTGGGCAACGTCACGCACTTAGGGAGAGGCATACCTCATCGAACCTTATGCCTCCTGGCCCCCAGGCCGAGGTTCTTTTCCTTGGACGTATTGTTTTTGAGTTCTTGGAGTCGTAAGAACTTTAGATACACTAATTTTCTAACTCCTGGTGTCTCTTCTGCCTTAGATTGTAAGTGTCTGGAGGCCGGGGACCTGGGCTTCTGTGGCCTCCAGCCTGCGACCCCCAGGCAGCTTGTAAGTGCCTACCAACGAAAACTATGTGGGCCAAAGTATTTCTCTATTAATGGACTTAATTTTACGAATATTTGAAATTAGTCTGTTTACATGTGCTTTTCTCTATTAGACCTGAGGGATTTTCTGTAGTAAAATAGCTCATTACCTTAATGTATACTTGGTGGTTTTTTAAAACGGACAGGTTTTATGTTCGACAGAAACCATTTACAAATGAACATAGAAAAAAATTAATTATTCTTCTTCCTTTTCTTTTCCTTTTAAGATTGATGTTCTTGAGGACCCTGCCATCAGGAATGTAATTGTGCTACAAACAGTTCTGCAAGAAGTGAGAAATCGTAGTGCTCCAGTGTATAAACGAATCCGAGATGTGACTAATAACCTGGAGAAGCATTTCTATACATTCACTAACGAGCACCATAGGTAGGGGGGAATTAATGTGAAGTATCAGAAAACCATAAAATTAGCTAAATTTGGGAGAGGGGTCCTGTAATTTGTGACTTCAGAAGATATCTGATTTCATACAAGAGTATTATTTGGATCTTACACAGTTTTACAGAATATAATGCTAAGTACAGCTCATTAAGGTCACGTAGGTATTGATTGGATCAATCTTAGAGCCAAGGTCTCCTGACTCTTGGGTTATAGTAGGTACTTTTATTTCCAAAATGTTTTCATTTTGAATTAATCTTAGTATGAGTTGAGCAATAGAATCTTGGCAGATGAGATTTGTCTAGGTTCTTAGAATACCATATTCTATAAATGGTAAATGTAGGTTAATGAAGTGTAAGTTTTTGAAGGTGGTTTAGATATATAAAGCTGATTTATTCTAAATGGGCTTTTAAAAGTTAATCTAGACCTTATAACTGGTCAAATTGAAGAAGATAAGGTTAAAGAATAGAATTATGTTCCAAATTCAAGACCTTCGTTTGAATATAATATGTGGTTTTAGAAAATAGTTATCACGATATGTAAGTCAACGATGAATCTTAGTATACTTTTATTATAATAGATCAGAAGGCCTCAATCTTGACATTGCTGACATTTTGGACTGGATAATTCTTTATCGTGGGCAGGTCGTCTTATACATCATAGGATGTTTAGCAGCATCCCTGGCTTCTACCCACTAGATGCCAGTGGCAACCCTTCCCCCCTCATCCGCAGCGTTGTAACAGCTCATAATATTTTGGGACATTGTCAAATGTTCCAGGTGAGTGAGGCAAAATTACCCCAGTTGAGACCACTGGATTAGATGGTAGATCTGGTAATGAAATCCCATTGGAATATGCTAATTAAAAATATAATTTCTCAATTTTTCCTTATATTCCAAACTTAAAAAATGTTCTTGTAAAGAACATCAGTAAAGCACTTGTAGACTTCTTATTCTGGTTCCTCCTCGAAATCTAGAAACAAATGTCACTTGTCTTTTAGTGCAGAAAGATCAAGTTTTTATGGAGCATGATCATCAGATCACTAATCAGAGGTTATTTTGTTAGCTTAAGTGTAGTGAATAGAGTTTAGCAATAGTGGGGTTGATAGAAAAAATCTTAGATTTTAGGACACTTGGGCAAATCTCATTTAAAATTCTGTTGCTCAACTTATGCTAAAACCAATTCAAAAATTTATGACAAGGTCTTTGATAAGCTTAAAGCATTAGCAGGCACACTTAATGGTGAGAAATAAAATGATTCTAAAAACTTAATATAAAGTCAAAAAATTTTTAATTGAATGTATTATATTTAAGCACTAGAAGTTGTTATATTGAGTTTTGTTATTCTTAAATTTGGCTTTGAAAAATAGATTTAAAGAAATCAGAATGCTGACATTTGGGAATTCAGAGTAGATAGAATTAGAAGGAGTATGCAGTCATATCTGTATCTGGTTTTACAATCTCTAGAAAGACTGGTTTTTAATTCATGTTTATCATAGATAATTTACATGCATTATATATGATTGTAGAACCATATAATCATAAATCATCTAATATAGCTTTTAGAATTTACTGTTAATCTACAGTTTGAATGAAATCTCATCAGACCTGCAAAGTTATATTATAGTTTTTTCCAACAAACTATTATTTCATGTTCCAACCCAAGTATAAATTCTGATTTTGAATTTTTCTTTTGGTGAAATAAAATTGTTTTAGCTTTAGCTATTCTATTAATAATATGCTTTTCTTTGAGTACATTCCAGAGGAAAAGATACACTATGGACTTTTAAGTTTAATGGTTATTTAGCATTTATGTCCCAAGACTGTTTCTATTGGTTTTCATTTCTTTCTTTTTTAAAAAAATTTTTCTTTCCTTTACATTCAGAGAAACTTATGTGGAACAAAAACAGGGAGAAAATTCTAATGACAGGAATGATAGAGCCATTAGAGTAGCAGCAAAATGGTACAATGAACATTTGAAGAAAATGTCAGCAGAGAATCAGCTGCAAGTTATCTTTATAACAAATGACAAGAAAAACAAAGAGAAAGCCGTAGAAGAAGGAATACCAGCTTTCACATGTAAGTCTAAATGTAGACACTGTTAGTTCACCTTTGTAAATGCATATAAAAATGATCAGGCCCATGACAGGTTCACTTGACTGTATAATATATTCATGGTCCTGTATTACTTCATGTAATTTTTTTTGCATTTTTAAACTTCCCAGCATTTCTAAGGTAGGTGTGTTGTGGTGCCCAGTAGCTAATTTTCCCATCACCATTCAGAATGGCTTAGCAATAAAAGCTCATTGATATGCTTGACTGTGCTTAGACACTACCACATCAACAGTTATGGCCTCCCCCCCCACCCCCCAAAAAAATTGACAGATGTACCATCACAAACAAGATTATTGGTGTTCTTTCACATCTAAAAACAAAAAAGAACACTTGAATTTATCAAGAACAATAAAACTTGTTTTTCAGGTGAAGAATATGTAAAGAGCCTAACTGCTAACCCTGAACTCATAGATCGTCTTGCTTGTTTGTCTGAAGAAGGGGTATGTTTGAGTTTGTTTTATTTTGTTTCTGAACAGTGAAAATATTAAAATAGCCGCTTTGAGTCATTAAATTTAGAATTTGGAATGTTGGTGGGTAAGCTGGAATTGGAATAGGAGCTGGGTTGTAGACAAGAGTGTGTACTAGGTTTATCAAAATGCCATTCCAAAAAGACTTGACTTTCTAAAGAGATGTTTTTTGCCCATATAGCCTCAGCAACCCGGGTAGGGCTAGGAGTAGATATTGGACAAAGAAGTGGCAGGCTGCAGACAGAGCATACAGTTGTAGCATTAATCTCAAAGGAGGAGGGGAGGGAGTCATAATAGGTAGAACAGGAAGGGTAGGAGCCATAAAATGCGGACCTAGAATTTATTCAGTAGGTCACTAGTGTTTGAACTATCTTATAAAGATCTCCCTAAAGGGCTGCTATGAAGAGATAATAGCAGATAGGATTCTGGACTCCCAACCTTACAATGGCAGACTAAAAGAAATTAAGGGTGTATGAAAGTGTACCTGAGAGGGATGGGGGAGGATGATCAGAAATGTTATTTATTTGAAGTAACATCTCAGCACTCTTACTGATATGTAAGATGATGCTCTGTATCAAGGGCAAGATTAGAGGCAGACAGATGAGTAAAAGGATTACTGCAATAGCAGATATGAGAGGGTATGTTATGGGAATCATTTAACTTTGTGAACCCTCATTTCCTTAGATGTAATGTTTGTTTAGTGATCACGACTTCCTAGTGTTGTTATGAAGATTGAATGAGATAACAGCAGTGATATTAATAAACTATCTAGCACATAGCCAGGGTAAATGTACCATTCCAAATGGCAGCTGTTGTTATTGTAGTTTTATGTAATAGAACATTATACATACATCCAGTGTTTACCGTATTTTTCTCATTACTGCTTGCCTTCAACCAGCTACTTTACAAAACTAAATGGAAGTGAGAAAATAAAATCTGGGCTCAATTTTTGTAATACAGATTTAGGATTGCCCTTCTAATACGTAGTCACTAGTGACATGTGGTGTTTAAATTTAATTCAAATTAAGAATTCATTTACTCAGTTCCATTTTTCACTTTTAAAGTGCACAAAAGCCACTTGTGCCCAGTGGCTACCATATTGACATCACAAAAGGAGTAGTCCCTTCATCAGAAAATTGTTTTAAATAGCACTGATCTAGAAGAAAAAACGAGAAGTAACATTGGTAAGATGTGGTATTTGATTAAGTACTATGGTAAGGTAAGTGTAGGATATAGTAAAATGACAATTTTGTTGTATTATATATGTTCCTCAAATTCACTTTGCCATGCAGTATCATGTAATGAAAACAGCTTATGGGGAAACGTAGTTAGGGGCACATACCCCAAAACTTCATGAAGTTGTGGAAAGAGAGTATCTAAATTTGGACAGAAGGTTCTTGTACTAGATGAAGATGGCAAGGCTCATAACACACTTGGTGATCTGAGGTAACTGATAGATGTTTGAGAGGCTATGTATGTGTTTTGTGGATTCCTATGCAGCTTGGTTCAGCTGGTGCAGTTTTCTGCATTCACCTAGTATATTCTAATCTGTCAGTTGCATTGCGACAGTTTCTGTTTTCGAAACAGTAGAACTGACTATACTTAGTCAGGGTACCTAACCCAGGTTTGGGGTGTCAGGGCTTCTCAACAGAAGAAATATCTATGCCGAGATATGAAAGCTGCTAACTAAGCAAATTTGCTTTGAGACAGGATCATTTTAGCTATATTATGTAAAGGAGTTAGCCATGGTAATAATTAGGGGAAGAGCATTTTGTGCAGAGGAAACAGCAAGTTCAAAGTCTCTGAGGTTAGAATAAGTTGGTAAGATCAAGGAACAACTAAAAGTGTTGGGATAGAGCGAGCAAAGGAGAAAATGTTAGTAATGAAGTTAGAACTGTAGGTAGGGTCCAGGTCGTGTAGTATGTAATAAATAATGGGAAAATATTGGATTTTAGTTCACTGGACCTGGACAGCTGTTGAGCAAGGGAATAATGTGATCTATCTGGCTGCTCTAAGAATAGATTAGAAGCAACATCCCCCAGGTAGGAGGATATTTTAGTACTTCAGTAGAGAGAAAACAGAAAATTGGACCACGGTAGTAGCAGTAAAGGTAGTGGGAAGTACTCAGATATTGGCTGTATTTTGTAGATATATGTTTTAGGAGTTGGTGATGGATTAGATGGGACTGTGAGGAATATGGGTGACTCTAGGTAAATAGAATGGTGACCCCCTTCATCTGGTAGAGATGGGACTGTGAGGAATATGGGTGACTCTAGGTCTTTTACCTAAGCAACTAGATAAATAGTATTTCTTTATTTCTACCAGATGAAGGGGGAAGCAGGATCAGGTGGAAAATTGCAAGTCTAATTTTAGACGTTTTCATTTTGAAATACCCATTAGAGCTCAAGCAGCTTTATAGTTTGACTAGTTTGGTATACAAATCTGTAGCTCTTGAGGCGGGTTATGACTAGACATGACAGATTTGGAAGTCATCAACATACAGATAATATATAAAATTGTAAGACCAAATGAACTTATCTGGGGCGGGAATAGACCAATCTGTTTTTTTTTTGTTTTTTGTTTTTTTAAAGCTATAATTCACATACCATATAACCCATCCATTTACAATGTATAATTTTTATATATTCGCAGAATTCTGCACTGTCACCATGATCTAATTTTAGAATGTTTTCTTCCCCTGTTGAAGAAACTTCATATCCATTACGACTTGATCCCAATCTCCCCCTGAAACGCCCTTACTCCAGCCCTAAGCAACCACTAATTTCTCTATCTATAAATTTGCCTCTTCTGAACATTTAATATAAAGGGAATAATGCAATATATGGTCTTTGCGACTGGTTTTTCTCAGAATATTTTCACGGTTTTCCCATGTTGTAGCATATATCAATACTTCATTTGTTTTTATTGCTGAATAACATTCTAGTGTATGGTATGCCACATTTTATTTATACATGTACCAGTTAATGGACATGTTCGTTCTCACTTAGGGGCTATTATGAAGAATGCTGCTATGAACATTTGTATACAAGTTTTTGTGTGGACGTATCTTTTCATTTCTCTTTGGTATATACCTACGTATGTATATAAGTGGATTTACTGAGTCATAGGATAATTTTATGTTTAACTTTTGAGAAACTGCCAAACTGTTTTCCAAGGTGGCTGTGCTAGTTTACATTCCCATCAGCAATATATAAGGGTTCCAGTTTCTCCATGTCATCACCGATACATGTTTTTGTCTGTCTTTGATTATAGCTATCCCAGTGGGTGTCAGGTGATATCTAATTGTGGTTTTGATTCACATTTCTCTAATGACTAATGGTGCTGAACATTTTTTTCATGAACTTTTTGGCCACACACACACACGTATGTGTGTTTGTGTCTTTGGAGAAATGTGTATTCAAATCCTTTGCCCATTTTTTTGTTGAGTTATTTGTCTTTTTATAGAGTTGTAAGGTCCCTTTAAATATTCTGGATATAAGACTGTTATCAGATATATGGATTTGCAGCTATTTCTCCTAGGCACACTTTTTTTGTAAAGGATCAGATAGTACATTTTTTTAGCTTTGCAGGCTGAATGGTCTCTGTCGCAAGTTCTCAGTCTCTGCTTTTGTAGTGCAGAAGCAGCCATCAACAATAGATAAATGATTGAGTGTGAATGTGTTGCAGTAAAACTTTATTTCTCAAATACAGGCAGTGGCTTGGACTTGGCACATGGAATTTAGTTTGCCTAGCCCTGACCTAGGGGAGTGAGTATAGTTAGTAAAGAAGAGGTCCAAGGGCTGAGGCCTTGGGCACTCCAACATTTAAAAGTCAGGAACATGAGGGGAACCAACAAAGGAGATAGAAGAGGAAAACTGGGTGAGTGTGAAATTCTTGGAAGCGAAGTACAGAAAATGTTTTAAAGACAAGAGGGTGTCCATCTGTGTCAGATATTAACTGGTAAATCAAATTAATGAGGACTGATGATTGGATTTAGCATCATGACAGTTTTGAGGACCTGTCCAGTTTAGTCCGAAGTCTGACTAGAATAGATGGAAAAATGGAAAGAGAGAAGTTACGGTTGTAACACTTTCAGTGCTATAATGGAGAGAAATGAGTGGTATTTGAAGAACAAGTGGGATCAAGAGTATTTTTGTTTGCTTTTTTAAAAGATGGGAGGAAATAACAAGAAAATAAATGTAGATAATGAAAGGAAAACAGCCTATCATTGAGCCTTGTGACACATTTAGAGATCAGGAACAGGAGATCAGAACAGGAACAGGAAACTAATCAATGAAATAGGACAGAAACCAAAGGATTAATGATTCGAATGCTGATGTGTCTCAGAGAAGGAAAGATCTCTTTTTTTTGAAAAATCATATTTTAAAATTCTGGTAAAACTAAGAATGGAGCATTGAATTTGCTAAGACATTATAAGTGACCTTGACAGTAATGGTTTAGTTGAGTAAGGATGACACTCAACTAGTGCATTCATGAGAGAGTATAGGTGAAGAAGTAGATACACAGCTATTCTAGAGCATACCTCTGCGGCATTTTGGTATGAAGTGCAGAGGATCCAGCCACTGTCTGAAGGAGACCTGAATTTTATTTAGTTATTAATAGATCATATTATGTTTATATGATGGTGAGAATGTTAACAATAGAGAAGAAAATTACGCCTGAAACTTACTGGATTTCGTTAACCAGTGTCACCATAATTAAAATAAACAAACAAACAAACTAAGAAAATAAATCTTAAGGAAAAAACGTATGATTCAAGAGAGAGAAGATAATTACAGGAAAAGTTCTTGAATAAAGGAAAGGAGATGGTTTGTAGTACCCAACTGAAAGAACAAACATTCTATTCACTGTTACAGGAGAGAGAGCTGAGGTTTTGATGTAGGTGCAAGTGGGTGGGCAGATTTGGTGAGAAGATGAAGGTGGGTCTCTACTGATTGCTTCTTGTTCTCAGTATGGAGATTGAGGTCGCCCCCCCACCCCCCTGCTGAGAATGGGGAAGGAAGACAGGGAAGTTAGGGAGTTAAGCAAAAAAAGAGGAAGGTACAAAGTATTCTCCTTAGAAGGTGGAAATAGAGCAGGAAATGAAAGAAGCCATGCAGTCAGGATTTTGGATATTGAAGTCACTGAGAATCCTGATAGATCTTATGATAGATCTAAAGCAGTTCCCAGCCTACCTGTATCTTATATCCTTAGCTGTTTAAAATAGCCAAAATAAAAATAGTATTTCTTGTGCTTTCAGTAGCCACAGTCTTTTTTCATGAAATCGAGGCTTCAAATTAGCTTTCCTGTAGCTACCTGCCCACTTACATACACATCTTCATTTTGGGAGGCCTGGGGTGAGAGTTGGTATGCAGAGTTGCTTAGTGACGTACGTCTGTGGCTAAACCCTAAATGTAAGGAAATTGAAATGTTTGTGTAAGTTGCCCTAAGAATAGAAAGCACTTTTTTTCTCACTGTGCTATATTCTTATTCATGAAGTTATATATACCATAATGTGGATGGTTTTTTAAAAAACTACCTGATTGTGATAATAGTTACATATTGAGTATATGGAAGACTTTACATACTAACTGCATCTTTTGGTTTGCTTATTTCACAGAATGAAATAGAAAGTGGAAAAATAATATTTTTGGAGCATCTTCCCTTAAGTAAGCTACAACAAGGCATAAAATCTGGTACATATCTTCAAGGAACATTTAGAGCCAGCAGGGAAAATTACTTAGAAGCTACAGTATGGATTCATGGAGACGCTGAAGAAAATAAAGAGGCAAGTGTGTAAATAAATGCCTTATACACTAATACTCTTTCTGTTCATTATTTTCTTTGATAAGTGCTTAAAATTTTGTATGAGAATTTAAATTTGCTTTAACTACCCTGTCAGCTTGAAGGCTGATATGTGGGAGGTATAGATAATAGAACTAATCACTTGTTTAGAAAACCACTTATTGAAGAAAAGAACTTTCTATTAACCTACTTTTAAGGAACAAAAATCTAGTCAAGTAATAAAACAGGATGCTTCTATTTTATGTATTATGACCAGTTATGGGAAATACTGTTTATATAACGTGTAATTGCTCCAGAGGGCTTTACACCCTTTCAAGTGAATAGCAGTTATTTTGAACATGCTTACTATTTGCCAGGCACTCTTCTATTTTGCATGCTGTGTTTCCTTTAATCTTCAATCCAGCCTAGAGAAGTAGGTACTCTTTTTTCATTTTACCAGTCAGGACCCTGAGATTTAGTGAGGTTAAGAAATTTTCTCAAGGTCTCTTTGTACTACTGTTACAGCAGAACCATGAACACAACCCATATTTTCTGACCTTGTTTTGTCTCTTTGATAATGAGAAATTAAGAGTGTGGAGTAAAGGGGCACCAAGGAGGAAAAAATATAAAGGAGGATAAATAGAGATACATAGCGACATTCAGAATATATCTAAACTTGTTAGGGAACCTTCTCATTCTTACATTGCTGTTAAAAATAACTGGGCACATGGCATTTCCTGTTTTACACAGATAATCTTACAAGGACTTAAAAATTTAAACCGAGCTATTCATGAAGACATTGTGGCCGTGGAGCTTCTCCCCAAGAATCAGTGGGTAGCACCATCTTCTGTGGTTTTACATGATGAAGGTCAGAATGAAGATGATGTGGAGAAAGAAGAGGAAAGAGAACGCATTGTATGAAACCAAGCAGGTTTTAATTTTTGTCTGTGTAGCTTTGTATAATTAATATGTTAGCTTTGGAGAAAATGAAACATTTCATTGCTTTCAGGTATATTGAACAAAATTATGGTTCTGTAGGTTTAATACATGTCATACACAAAGTTAATATTTTCCCTTTAAGTGTTTAGTCTTAAATTAATGTCTTATTTTGCTCAGTAAATGAATTTAAATACAAAAAAATTGTTAACTTGTGTATAAAACTTAAACTCTGACATTCAGGTACATGATCTGTCGGAATGAATGAGGTTTAAGTAAATATCGATTAAATTTTTCTGAAATGCTTTTATGTAATGTTAAAATTCCCTTAGCATACTAGATATACTTCTGGGCCCTTATATTTGAGTGTGTTTAAAAATTCCTTCTCTGTTACTGTATTTGTTATGAAGAGAATGCTTTTAGTTGTTTCTTATAGCCAAAGTCTACCTGATGTGACCTATTTATTTCTCTATTTTAGAATTATAAAAGTAATATAAATATTTGGAACTCATACAACGTTAGTAGTTCTTTTTCTGTGAATTATATTCACCGCTCTGGAGTCTTATTGTGACATTATCTGTGCAGAGTGTAGGACATAGGAGAGTGTTAGGGGTCACATACTGTAAGATCCTTCTGCTGTTTCCATAAGAAATACTCTTTATTTTGAAAAAGGAAGCAACTTTAAAAATACTACTTTTTTTTAGTGTATTAATAAATGCCACATAGCTAATTAGTACAAACTAGTACTAAAGTCCTAGTCTATGAATTCCCAGACCTGTGTGTGTTAGTAAATCCTAATATTAAAAATGAAAAGAGTTGAATTCTGACATACTTATTCAGTTACATTTATTTTTTTCAATTAGCTGTTTTCGCATTCCTTTATTATTATGGAACTATTTCTGTGGTTTGGTTTGACATGCTCTTGCTTAGAATTTTGAAGCATCAATATTCTGTACTTTTATGTCATAATTTAGTGCCTGAAAATATTAGTAGCATATTCATATTCTCATTATGAAGGGAAATTGTGTCATTATACTTAGAAATAACTGGAGATTTTTTTTTTAAATCTCAGCTTAAGACTGTTGTAAATGAAAAAATGTTGAAGCCTACAGGCAGAGTTGTAGGAATAATAAAAAGGAATTGGAGACCGTATTGTGGCATGCTTTCTAAGTCTGATATCAAAGAGGTGAGTAGAGAGCATACTGCTATGTAATAAAAAATGATACATATTTAATACAACTTACAGCCCCCGTTTGCCCCCACCCCAATTTTGTATGTATGTGAAATCTTTTTTCCTAATTTTCTCTAGTCAAGAAGACATCTTTTTACACCTGCTGATAAGAGAATTCCTCGAATTCGGATAGAAACCAGACAAGCTTCTACATTAGAAGGACAGAGAATTATTGTTGCTATCGATGGATGGCCCAGAAATTCCAGATACCCAAATGTAAGTTTGAATTATTAATTTTATTTTAGATGATATCATTTAAAATTTAGAAATAAAATTGCTTTTTTCAGTGGAATTAGAATCTGCTTATGTTATAAAATTTATATTGAAATTTAAGAGTATTTCACACAGGTACCTGATAAGTACTGTACATCCAATTTGAAATTAATCTTATGAAATTCCAATGTAAATCATTTGGTTACTTTTATTCAGAATTCCAAATAAATAACTTCTATTGATAGGAACTACAAAAATGGTGTTTGATACCTAAGTAAACGTTAATAAGCAGATTTTGAAGCTACTGTATTTGAAGCACAATGAAACTTGGAACTAATCGGAAATAAACAGATACTTTGTTAAATAAGTGCTTAGGCCTTCATTAAGTCTCCATCATAAATACTTGAGGATTCTCATCATTATTTAATTTACCAAGACGTCATTTTTAAGAAGTGGTTTTGCATACATACTAAGGTGATATGTAAATGCACAAGAACTTAATGTGAAAATAAAATACAAATTATCAAATAAAGTTATAAAATACACCTTTTTAATAACACCTTTTTGGCTTTAGGGACACTTTGTGAAAAATTTAGGTGAAGTTGGAGATAAAGAGACTGAAACAGAAGTTTTGTTACTTGAGCATGACGTTCCCCATCAGCCTTTTTCACAGGCTGTTCTTAGCTTTCTACCAAAGATGCCCTGGAGCATTACTGAAAAGGTAAGTCGGAAAGAATTCTTAGTGACTTTATAAATTACTATATCTGAGCGAATTTTCTTTGATTTCCGTATTTTTAAATATGTAGAAACCATAGTCCCTTTCTTTTCTGTATTTAGTTAGGTACAGTACTCTTAGGTATTACAGAAATCACTTGCACTGAAAGATACTTTTTTCTAGAGGACTGACACTAGCTTATGTCAAATTTTTCAAAGGCAAGGGAACCACAAGTAATGTCTGGTTATTAAGAAATAAGATAAGGTTTTCATTTTTATATTTTTGTATAGGTAATGTCGATTTCATAAGAGCAGTGTTGCATTTGTACTACCCAAACAACTTTTTATTTCTTAATCATGTGGCATCTTCTAGGACATGAAAAACCGGGAAGATCTGAGACATCTGTGTGTTTGTAGTGTGGATCCACCGGGATGTACTGATATAGATGATGCTCTGCATTGTAGAGAACTTGAAAATGGAAATTTGGAGGTATTCATATTGTACTTTCATTCTTATCTGTATAGTTTTGTTCTTGAGTTTATTTTCTCTTGATCTATTGTAGAATTTGTGACTTATTTGTGCCAAGTATAGTCAGTTGTAGCTACGGAGACTGATGGGCATTTATCAAAAAATGAAATGGTAAATATGACTGAGTTTTTTCAGTTTATCTGAGTTTCTTCTCATAAAAACTCTTTATCCATTTCAGCATGTTAACATTCTTTTATTTTTATCTTTTTAAGGTCGGTGTTCATATTGCTGATGTTAGCCATTTTATTAGGCCAGGAAATGCTTTGGATCAGGAATCAGCTAGAAGAGGAACAACTGTGTATCTTTGTGAAAAGGTAAATGTATTAAATTTAAAATGGAATTTTGATCTATGCTTAAAACTTTCATTTTATTTTTAATGATACCATCATCTGAGGTGTTTTCTAAGGAAAGGACGACGTCAGTATTCAGTGAAATTTGATGAGTAACTATTTTGTTAATTGTGAACAGTTTGTAAAAATCGTGGGCACTTTTGGATTCTTGAAGAGTCACAGTTTACATAAACTAGCTAAAAGACTAATACATAGAATAAAGTGGCCTTATATCAGTGAAAATATTGCAGTGTTTTTTGTTATCGAGTGGCCCAAAATAACAAGTAGATGTTGTTGATATAAATTGTTGTGTAGCTTTTAACTTACTATTTATGAGTAGCAAATTAAAAATGTATTTTCTGTTTTTTTATAAAGTTAAGTCATAAGTCTACTCAAGTATTGTCCCATAAACTTACAGAGAAAAATTGTGAAAGTAGAGGAGAAAGTTAAGCTTAGTCTGTTATAAATTCATTGTTTATGTAGCTTTTTTCCCATAAAAATTCAGTGACTGTCTTTTTTAGTACTTTTAAAACACCACAGGGCTTATGTTAAGTCTTAGAGAAGAGGCCAGTTGTAGAGCTAGTAGGGCTTCTGTTGGCATCTGGTACAAATTTTCTAGAACAGAGATTTCAGACTTCATAGGACACCTAGGTGGTTAGTGAAGACACTTAAATTTAGATCCGCTGACATGAAGTCCAGGTTTCTTTTATTGCTTCCTTTTTGTAACAGTTTTGTGTAAGGACCTTTCTAGAAATATATAATTTTTATTACATGTTTTCTCAATTCCAATTTTAAAGACCAAAATATTCCTTTTTCTTTTTCCTTGTTAAAGTAATGCTATATGAGGATGAAACCACAAATAAATTTATGGATATAGCTGAGTAATCTTTGACTCTTTTTATCTGTTGCAGAGGATTGACATGGTTCCGGAGCTGCTCAGCTCTAACCTATGTTCCTTAAGGTGTAATGTTGACAGGTATTTATGCATGCTTTTTAATAAGAACATAGTAGTTAACTACTTTAACTGATTCCCATTAACAAATACTATTTTCCCCATAGGCTGGCATTTTCATGTATTTGGGAAATGAATCACAATGCTGAAATCCTAAAAACAAGGTTTACCAAAAGTGCCATTAATTCAAAGGTTAGTTTCATAGTTAATATTTAATGTTTAAAATTTTTGATACTTTTAACACTATTCTAGATTGTTTTGAGAAAGTTAGGCTTATTAAGAAATTTTCTCCAGTGTTGCAGTAAAATCTAGTTTTTTCGCATTTATCTGCTTAAGTCTTAATGTTGATTGTAAATGAGTTTATGTAGCAGTTGTCCTATATTCAGAAACTTATAAAGCCTATATATATACTTAAGAAGACCAGATGAGAGTTAATGAACCAGAAATCATAGGTGCAGAGTATACATACTATAGCTAGGAATCTCTCTTTTGATAATGATTTTTAGGTTTTCCAAAATCATGAATTTTATGTAGTGGAAATATGAGAATGTAGTCAACCAGCTTTTATGATTTATAAGCAGTGTTAACATATGGTTTCTATTTTAGGCTTCTCTTACGTATGCTGAAGCTCAGATGAGAATTGATTCAGCGTCCATGAATGATGATATTACCGTTAGTCTCCGTGGACTAAATAAATTAGCTAAAATTTTGAAAAAAAGAAGAATCGAAAAAGGGTACATTTCAAAAAATATCTATTAAGTTATTTCTTAATTCATTTATCTTGTGTTAAGATAACTTATTAACTCAAGTGTTTTATCATGGACAACGAGGAATTATGTAATAGTTTGAACAGAGACATCATCCTACTTCTTCTAGCTACCTTTTGAGTATTAGTACCCTGATTCTGGAGTGATGTTTGTTTAGGAGTTCTGTTCTTGTAATTTGTTGTCTTAAAACCTGATATGTTTGAGTTAAAAATCTTAAATTTTAAAAAGGCAAGAATTCCTTAAGACTTTTCTATGGGTTCTTTTTAATTTTAATTAGAAATGAGTTTCCAGATTAAACATTGGTTTTCAATTTAAGTTAATGTAGAGGAAGTTCTTGCACTTTAGAGTTGGAAGAGGTTTTAGAGATTTTTTTCAGTCTGACACCTATGTTTTTTAAATGATTAAAAGTTACAGTCTTCCCAAAGATCTAATAGCTAGTGGTGGATTCACGTCTTTTAGCTATTAAATCATGGCATTTGCCTAATTACAAAAGGTATAAGGAGCGTCCAGGTACCCAAACTTGTTGAAGTAAAGTAGTTAAAAGAAATTTGGTTCTTGAAAGACATCATCTGGGTTCCCAGGCCTGTCCAGGGGTAGGATCACAAGCAGTTACTAAAAGTATTTTTGTTGGAGAATGCAAACTCTATAGCTAAGATGCGCCTATTAAAATTAAAAATTTAGTTCCTGTGTTGCACTAACCACATTTCAAATGCTCAGTAGCCACATGTGGCTAGTGACTACCACATTACAGTGCGGA